ATGAAGCATTACATCATTTCCCTCTTCAAACTTTCCTTCTACCAAACCAACTCCACTTCATTAAGCGTACCAGCTTTCCCTGACCTCTGCCTTTCCTCTCTGCTGGGCTCTGTCCTGTTGATGCCCCTCTTTCTTCTCCAGTGCTACTCTGTACATGAGAACTTCCCTATAATCAGCAGTGTGACACCTCCCATGTCATAGTCCCTACCACTTCTTATTCATTTCACATTGTATTTTTGTGTTCTCCCCAAAACTGTGATATTTGACAGTTACCCATTCCCTTTACTGCAAAGCTGCAATTGATTATTCTTCAGTATGCGTAATAACTTCCTTTCATCCTCAGCGAGTCATATGTATTTTTTCCAGATCTATCTTTGCCAAGACCATGCTGAATGCTGACTCTGTCCTCCAGCACTTGCTGTCCCTCCCAGCTTGCCATCTCCTGGAGATTTAGTAAGTGTGCTCTTCCCTACGGGAGCCAAAAACAGAGTGAGGCTGTCCGAGACACCAAATCATGGAGGGACCAGAAAGAGTGAAGTGAAACACCAAGAGGATTTTCCCCCTGTGCTTCATGCTCTGGCTCTTTGGTGAGTGGCAGTACTTGCTCCCCCACTAGCGAGCACATTTCCAGGTCTCGCGCTGTGCACTCTGCTGAGCAATGCCTTGCTGAACCCAGCTCGAACAGGCCAGGCTTTTAATGCAGGAGGTCCTGGGCCAGCCTGAAGTGATTTGCGAGGCAAGTTAGGCAGCATGAAGGTGTGCACTCCTGAACATGCCTGCCTTCTCAAGAGCCAGCAAAGCTGTCTCTCACTACTTGCTCTAAGCTATGGCAACTAGCTTCAGGAGTTGTTAGGAAAAAAATTCCCATTTGCAGCTTAAATGTATTGCCTCTCAGTGTAATTGAGTCTCCCTCCTTGCTCCTTATTACAAGAGGATGGATAAGCATCAAGTTTACTCTTCTAAACACACTCATTACTTTGTATATCTTGTCATGTCACTCTTGATTTGTGTCTTCTCTTGCTGGCACTGGAACGGAGCTTTCACTTCTTGTGGAAATTTTTCTGTGCTTATAATTGTTGTTGTCACCTGTGTCAGAGGTCCTCAGTTATCCTGTGGGTTTTGTAGTGGGGTGTTCAGAAAGAGTTTCAGGTCAGCGATGACCTTCACGTTTCTATATTATTCCACAGGTGACATTTGTGTTGCTCCTGGGAGCAAAGGTTTCCACTGGGCGGTGAACAAGATCTCTCCTGGGCATTTTACAGAGGAACCACAGTTACTACAGAAATATAGAAGAACCTAAGCTAGGTCCTCACCTGCAGATTACCTTGTATTTATCAGTTTCATTAACCAGTCCAATTAGATGTTATTGAAACCTGTTGTGAGTGGAGGAAGCTGTCATGGTTTAAACCTGGACAGCAGTCAAAGACCACACAGCCGCTTGCTCTCCCTCCCCTGTCTGGGGGATGGGGGAGATAATTGGAGGGGTAAAGGTAGGGAGACTCATAGGTTGAGATAGAATATACAAATGAGTGATGAACAATGCAATTGCTCACCACCCACTAACTGATACCCAGCCCGTTCCTGGCTAGTGTTTTGCTGCTTAAGGATACCAATTAAACTTGGACACCAGAGTGAAAAGAGTAGGTGTATTTTACTGGTGATAACCCAATAATGTAACAGAGTAATACAGAAGACATGCAGTAAGAAAAGGCAGAATAGTGCACCTAAAGCAACAAACAGGAAAATACAGGGTAATGCACCAAATCATTACTACAAGAGAGAGAGAATAGCGATTAAGAAAGATCCATCACCACGTGCACACATTCCCATTCACCCAGACCCGCAGTGGCTGGGCAGCCCCGGTCACAGCGAGGGTTTGCAGAGCCTGTCCCGGCAAGGGGGAAATCCTACGCGGTGCGTCCACCCACAGGTGAGGCATCCAAAGTCACTGCAACCAGGCTCAGCCTTATATACCAGAGATCGACAAGCCAGACTAGCTGGCACCTTTGTTCTGGGCGGAAAATTTCCGGTTTCATTCTCCTGTTAGATTCCTCCCAAAGCCTGGTCAGGGCTCAGGGGGGAAACCATGGGAGTTTCTAACAAGGCCAGACACTTGGGTTCTCAGCCTTGAACAAGGCTAAACAAGGGAAGTGGGATACATTCTCTCCTCGCTACTGATTATATTCTAGGCCTCATCTGTCACTAGCGAGTTTACACACTTTGTTAATGATTCCAGACTAAGTTAGCAGCCTCGGCTTGGGGCCTGTTGTTCAGGCTGCGGTATTTCAATGCTTTAGCACTTTTTACATCAGCATAAGTGGGTTGTTATAACTTAGTACAATACCTACTAGCACAATGGTTTTCAGTTATAAAATATACAGGATTCATCTATAGGTCAGCTCTGGCTTGGGCCAGTTGTCCAAGCCTTAGCACTTCAGCTAGCTATCCCAGAGCAGTGAAAACCCTGACACCGCAATCCTGGGAGAGAGAGCTTCCTGGCCAACCCTCATCTATATACTGAGCATGACATTATATGATATGGAATATTTCATCCGTCAGTTTGGGTCCAGTGCTCTGGCTGTGCTCCCTTCCAGCTTCTTGGGCACCTACACACCAGCAGAACATAGGAAGTTGAAAAGTCCTTGATTTCATAGCAACAACTAAAAAACATCAGTACATTGTCAACACTCTTCTCACAGGAAATTCCCTACTGAATGCAAAACACAGCACTATTCTAATTACTAAGAAGAAAAATTAGCTCTATCCCAGCCGAAACCAGGATAGAAATCACTGCTGATGGTAAGCACACAGCATGAGCTGCCTATGCTTCAGTATTGCTGTGGGTTAACCCTGGCCAGCAGCTCAGCCCCACTCAGCTGCTCACTCACTCCCCTGGGCAGGATGGGAGAGAGAATTGGAGGGGTGAAAAGTCAGGAAACTTGTGGCTTCAGATAAAGACAGTTTAATAGGTAAAGCAAAAGCTGCGTGCACAAGGAAAGCACAATGTGTAATTCATTCACCACTCCCCATCGGCAGGCAGGTCCTCAGCCATCTCCAGGAAAGCAGGGCTACATCACATGTAACAGTGACTTGGGCAGACAAACACCATCACTCCAAACATTCCCCCTTTCCTCCTCTTCCCTCAGCTTTTATTGCTGAGCATGACATCACATGGTGTGGGATATCCCTTTGGTCAGTTGGGGTCAGCTGTCCCGGCTGTGTCCCCTCCCAGCTTCTTGTGCACCCCCAGCCTGCTCACTGATAGGGCAGGTTGAGAAGCAGAAAAGGCCTTCACGCTATGCAAGAACTGCTTAGCAATAGCTAAAACATTGTTGATAACAACACTGTTTTGGACACAGATCCAAAATGCAGAGCCATACCAGCTACTATGAAGAAAATTATCCCAACCCAAACCAGTACAAATATTTATGCAGAACTGAGCAAAACTTGATGCTGTATGGCCTTGGCCTCTGAAGTGAAACAGGCCAGAAGTGCCATTACTGTGCTTTTGTATCATTATCTCATATTTATATGTATTACCACAGTGCATCCCCAGACATGACCCTGTTACAGGCTGAATACGTAGCATGAAATTATACCCATGTCACATTAACTGAGGCTGGAAGGGACCTCAGGAGGTCTCTGGTCTGATCCGAAGCAGGAATTCAGATCAGGTTTTATGTACTCTGGTCTTGAAAACCTCCAAGGACTGGATGGCACAGCATCCCTGGACAACCAGCTGCACTGCTTGGCTGTCCTCATGGGGGAAAAGTTTCTCCTTATAGCCAGTCTCAACCTCTCTTGTTTCAACTTATACCTCTTGTTCATCTTCCTCCCACCCCTCACCATCAGAAGCCTGACTGTCTCCTTGAGAACCCCTTGTAACCACTGGAGGGGCTGTTAGGTGTCGCTGAAGGCATCCCTCCAGGCTGAACCAGCCCCGCTGCCCCTGCATCCCCTCGTGGGGCAGGTGCTCCAGTCCCCACTGCCTCAGAGGCCCTCCTGTTTGTCCATACCCTCCTTGCACTGGGGGGGGGGCCCACAACCAGACACACTACCCTAGATGTAGTCTAACAATTGTCAAATAACTCATCACTTCCCTCTATCTCCCAGCCAAACTTCAGTTAATACAGCCTAACTTGGGAACTTAGCCAGTTAAAAAAAGACAAACCTCATAAAAATACCCCCACAGGTTTCTCAGGGTTTGTTTTCAAAGACAGAGGAGTTCCCAAATCCAGTTCACAACAGCTGTGCCAGCATAACTGAGATGGCACCATGCCATGGTACTGAGTAGCCAAGAAGGGGAAAGGGCAGTAACAAAGGTCTTGGGGAAGCCAATGCTGTGGCACACTTTGTGTTAAGGAACCTCAAACTGGTGTGCATCCCCAGACCCTGGCTTTTATTATGCTCTGCTCTTCCTCAGGAAGTAACAGCTTAATACTTTAAATTTTCTGCCCACAGATGTCTCCACCTACCAAAACAAACCACCCCACTCCTTATGGTGCAAACACAATTGGCTGCACCACAGGTTTAAATTTGTTATCTCAGTAAAAGCAACAGATGTTCAGAGTATCTCTCTCAAGTGACTCATTTGTGCTTTATGATATCTAGTAAAGATACATCATCTGATCAAATAGAGCCTGTTTGTAAGAGCAGTACTTGTTTCACTACTTTCAAAGTGCTTTGGATTCATCAGTTATCACACTCATTGCCTTAGTTATTCAAGACAAGAATTAAATCATTAAAATATCCATTATGATTTTAATATAGTTTGGGATGTGTATTTTGAAATGCTAGGAAAATATATTATCTTGTCAAAAGGGCAAGATATTAATTCATGACACTATTAAAGATATTATAAATATAAAATGCACAGTTGGATTTGAAAATTTTTTATATTCAGATGATTGATTTCCTTTGAATACATTTGGAACCAGGCAATGCTACACTATAGCCCAATGGAGTCTAGTATCTGCTTCAATAAAAGAGGACAACTAGAATTAATGATTGCAAATTTATTACATGGAACAGCAAATTCTAGACAACCGAGTCACATAACAGACCACCAGTGCAACAGAAAGTCTCTTTTCTTTGTATAAACCAAGTCATCGAGCTGGTAAGTCGACCCATAAACTTCATATTCATTGGTATTCTGAAACAAATTAACACAGTATCATACTTGAGATGTTGATCTGGCTATAACTTAGTCTTCAGTTACGTATGTCTGGTCCTTCCCAAAGTCAGAAATGAAATAGCCTCAAATTTTAGCGCAACAACAAAAAAAATTATGAAAGTTCAGGTAAGTGTGCCCAGATCTGTCATTTGTACTCAAACACAAATCCTACCTCTTCACAGAGTTCCCCCTCCATCATTCCTAACTCCACTGTCCTTCTTTTAGAGTTATGGAGGCATGGTGTGCATCTTGCAGCTGGGTTGGCTCAGGGTACTGAGCTGTGGATAAAATTTACTGATGTATGTAAGGCTAAGGCATCATTGTAGAGTAATGGCTTTTACACCAGCACTTGAATGAAATCTGTTTGACAGTCTAGCAATTCTGCTAACACTAGAGTACTCTGCATAGAGTACTTTGATACAAGCTTACTCTATTTTTGAACTGTTTTACCCAGAAACTACAGGAACTCTGGCTTATCTTTGGGGTTGTCAGCTCACGCTTCCAGTTAACTCTAAACAAATCTGGGCAGCAGTACCTGCCCCTACCTGTGATAGCTATGAAACATTTCCCACATGTATGTGGGCCTAACACCACAAGAACACTATACTGTCTCAAACCAGAGATCCATCTAGCTCCTTATCTTCCTTTCATCCTTAAGAAGCAATGGATGCCCAGGGCAGTGCCCAAGATCAGAGCAAGTAGAGATGCTGCTCTACAACACTCTCCCAGTCTTTGATTCCTTTCTGTCTGAAATGGTTGAATGCTAAATATACAGCAAAATTTTCTTTGTAGGTTTTTTTTTCCTCCTATCCTTCTCTCCTGTTCCAAAAGACCCAATCCTTTCAGTTAACAGTTGGAAATAATTCTTACATTGCAAACAGAAAATGGTGATCTTTTATTCTGGGGTAAAACTGGAAGAAGAGATAGAAGGAGGAGACTCATGTACACTGACTGTCTCTCCTTAAAGCTCACTAAGGCCTTTAATAGACCCTTTCAAAGATGGATATGTAAGAGCTATATGACTAGATCTCACTGTTCTCCCTTCTTACATATCCACCGTTGCTCTTTCTAGTCAATGTTTACCCCAAAAGAGGTCCTAATTCTGATGTGAGAACAATACCCACCCACATGCAGAGATCTGCATTAGTGGGTTCTCACACAAGATTAGGTCACTGAGTGTCTCTTGGAACAGAGAGGAGTCCACATTTATCACAGTGAAGGACCTGGCTAGCTTCCGTGTTCCAAGTACGATTTACACCCTCTGTTTTTAAACTTCTAATTTCTGCATCATTTCTATCATTTTGCAGAGGATGAAAACTCCTCCTTACTTAACCTTGAAGAGGGAAGAAAACAATCCTTTTGTCAGAGCATACACTCTAAGTCTCCAAACATGACAAAAAGCACTTCTGCCCAGACATTTCTCAGTCACCATATGAAACATCCACGTGACTATGTAGGTTTGTAATACTTCTCATTAGCTCCTTCTGCCACAAGGGTCATCTTTATTGAAAAAACAGGAAAATTCTTGTCACTTTTGGATGCCTACTTACCACTGCTTTTGATAGTTCTTCCATTTCGAGGCTGAAAAACATAATAATTATATGGTTGTGCAGAAGTATTAGATGCCAAATTTATAAGCATGCCAAAATACATCTCCCAACATGCAGACAAAGTACATAAGAAGGCTGCAGTAATATTTCTTTAAAAGGATCAACATGTCAAATGCCAGGGGATCCATGCAGGGGAGGGTTTGCCTTTAAGTCTAAGATATTAATTCATCCTCTGCCCAAACAGATAAACAGTCTGACTTCAATTATTCTCATTAAGGGTCTTGGTCCCAATTCACTGAAGTACTATGTAGATGCCCAAGGAAGAGCATATAAGTACCAGCACAGAAAGTACCTGGCCAGACAGGCTTGAGGTGAGCCAAAATGTAAGTGACAGCTGAACTGGGACCCTGGTTACCTCCTACAACATACTTCAGTATTTTTTGTAATGTGTTGAAGATATTCCTAAAAACTAGTTTGGTGTTAATCATACAGTGTGTCTAAACCAGCATATTCTGCATTAGGCCGTGCCATAGTTAAGCAAGCCAGTGAGTGAAAATCAGGTGAAAAACATGAAATAATGTCTGTAATTTTGCTTTGGCTTTTCACCCTGTTATGCAGTCTGACATCCCTCACTGGCCACACCTTTCAGACCAAGTGGACATTCAGCTCATGCACATGTTTTATCTCACAAATTTAGCATTAGTGCACCTTGGAAGTCTCAGAGATACAAGCCACGTACTACTTCTATCTTTGGGTAACTCGGCTCAAGACAAAACATTTGCAGTCACCTCTTCAAATCAAAAAAATGTTTAATCCATTACTACCCCAGATCTCATTATCTTGTGGTCTTTTAGTTGAACCAGAGCTTTTTAAACAAATAACTCCCTAAGCTTTCAATAAAGGGATATTTGGCTTTTACTCAAAACAAGTGCAGCAAGAATTTGTGAAGGCAAACAGTTGCTTGTCTATGGATATGTAACACTGTCTGTGATTCAGAATCTTTAAGTAGTAAGAGATTCAGATACCCTGAAAAGGAAAAAAGGCCGTCCCAGAGTCCCATGACTATCCTGTAAAATAAAACAGAAACCGTTAACAAAATACTTTAAACTCCATTCCATAGATCTGTTGACAAGTTTCAGTGACATTCCATCAGAATATCAATAATTCAGGCCCTTTTCAGCAGCATACAAACAACAAAATGTTGATAGTCCCCAATGCCCATTCATCTGGAATGCCGATTAAAAATTCATACCCAAAGGGCATTGTCAATAACTATCCATTCTGTCTAGCATAAATATACCATAATTAAAGATTCACAAGCTTTAGAAAATTTATAAAAGAAAGCTTTAGACATGGTGAATTGCTTTGCAGAAGCAGGGTCAGCATAGATCTCTTCCCAACCACTGAAAAAACAAGCTGACTTAAAGCAGCAAAAGACACAGGGGAAGGGCTGTACTTCCCTGTCTATTGCTGCTAGCTTGTCTTCACATTTACATACCTTCTTTGTAAACTTTGTAGCAGCAATCTGTGATTCCTGCAAGTGGACAGTGTAAGTTAAACAAGATGCTGTCATTTGTCTGGTTTGTTACAGTAATCCTCCATCACTGACGAGGTTGCTGCACTCCATGTGAGAAAAGAGGTATTCTTACACTTACCACAGACAGATACAAGAACAGCAGCAAACAGATCTTTTCAAAGGTTGGTTAAGGCAAGGTTTAAAACCAATGTTACCCCATCATTCAACATGCTTCCCTCACTGTACAGCAAAGCACAGCCATGCTCTGGGCAGTGGAGCAGAGCTCAACCTGGAGCAAACGCAGCAGCTCCATTCCACAGCCTTGAATTGTACCCATAGCTCTTACCTTGTTAAAATGTGGCTGATCGTCACCTTTCAGACTGCCCTTGGTTTTAACCCAGACATGATTACTGGTTTTAAGCCTTCCTCTGCAGCCTTTATTCTTCAAGAAATTGCTCATTTTCTATTCCTTGATGTAAGGCTGAGTAGAAAACTTCCTTCGTGACTTCATGGTAACAGACTAAGCTCAAGGTCTAACAAAGCCCTGGACCTGCAGTCTGGCACACAGACCAGGTTTTGGAGCCCTCCTGCCCATGGCACGGCTGCCGGGCTGCCTGCTCCCAACTAGTCAGGAATGGGATAGCTCTGTATGCCACATTATATCAGTGCCACAGTTATATCAGTGAACAGACTTAATTACCTGGGGTGGGCTTGAAAAACAAGGACAGGTAATGAGCAAGGACGTGAAGACAGGGGATGAGCACAGGAAAAGCATGTGGATGGGAAACTGGAGAGGAGGAATTAAAAAAGATGAAATATGCAAGCAAGGAGGGAATCGCAATTCAGGGTATGAGATGAAGATTTCCTGGGTTCAAGTCTCAAGACAATGATTTATAAAGCAGCTGACATCAACTTACAGGGTTATGAAATACTATGGAGGAAAAAAGTGTTTGCTCGATCAAGGTGTAACTTTAAAAGATGCAAATGAGGAGACTACAACAAAGAGACAGTATGAATGCTAGTTCTGTTCTTAGATGGATATTACATACCAAGCAAAGATACAGGCTGACTCATGACTTAGCCTGCAGTTTCAAATTTCCTTATTTATAACAGGCAATAGTTTACTATGTGGAAGAAACATGGCAAAAACTGAGCTTCTGGCCTGACTTTACGACAGAAATTTCAAACTCTCAAGGAGGTGATTGCAATGTAGGTGGGTGTAGATAGCTCTTTTTGAGTCCTTTGAAAGTACCATCTGCAAGATTTACCCAAAGATTAGACACTGAAGTTAAATACTCTATTAGTTCTCTCAAAAGATTTTAAATTTCACAGATGGAGTTCAAGTCCCATTAATGTCCAAATTGTCACTGACTTTGCCTTTCATGGTGCTGAAGCCTCACTTCTCTTGAAACACCATCTACATTCTCTACGTAATCTGACCAAATAATTTATTTTTTTTTAAAAATCCACACAAATATAGTATCATGTTGGAAGTTGAAGCCCAGCCAAATCAGTAGGATTTCATAACTCTTTCATTGGGTGCACCACAAAGATTCATGTTTGCAGTGTCTTCTCAAGATTCCTCATAGGCTGAAAAAGTACAACTTCACATATGAAATTTGACCAGCTGGGTAAAATTTTGGATTTTTTGCATAGCTCCTTTTCCATATTTGTCATTTATATCTGATCTGCTACTTAATCAGACCACACCTAGAAATCATATTGCAGATATGCACCTGGTATTAGTCATCTCTTGAAAGAATACTGTATGAAATTCAACTACCAGTCTTGAGATCTCATAACAGAAGGTGAATTTTTTGCAAAGTTAGTAACTAAAATAGTTACCAGAAATAGGGCTCTATTCAAAGTTACCAGATGATTCTGGATGTCCCCTCATCAGCTAAGCTGCAGAAGCATGGGAGTCAATACTGAACTCAAAAACATTTATGAGACATTTAAGACTGAAATGCTAGAATTTTTTATACAATCAACTTCAGTTTTGTTGAGTTTCATGGCTGCTTTAGGAGAGCATGCTTGGAATTATAATAAGCTAAACACACTGGCAAGAAGAGATATTGAAATGCATGTCAGAATACTTTCTATTATTGTCTTGAAGAAACTACTTGTGATTTGAAACAGAGGACTCAAAGAATCCGCAAGTACACTGGCCTCTAATATACCCAGGGACTGAGTGAATTTTATGCAAAAGGTTCTTAAACTGGCAATAATAAAAAAAAGTGATATAAAGCAGAATTGACATTGAGCTAAGTCCTAATATGACTACACCAATGAGGAAGAGCTATACTCAATAACTCCTCAACTTAATCTTTTAGATCGGAGTCAGAAACATAAAAATTTAAGGTCGAGTATTAAAATCAGTAGAGCATCTCATACATCTCCATGTTCAGCATGATCTTAAGTATGCTGTTGATCCAATGTTATGTACAATTTTAGCATATTTAACCCTGTATTATTCAAAATAATGTCAGGTTAAATACTGGGGTCAGGTTAAAATACTGACTCTGGCTATAAGTGGATCTGGTTCTTGAGCTTCAGATTGGTGAAAACCATCATTTTCATATATAGTTCAATGGTGTTAACAATTACATGCAAACTACTAATGAGAAGAATAATCTTTTATATAATCTCCTACATCTCCTAAACCATGACACTATTAGATTATACATTATTGTTTGGAGAGAAGTGTCAGAAAGTCTGATTTAGAGGGGTTGCTTTTTAAGTTTAAGGAGGGGGTGCTTTGAAATAAAAGAAGCGATTACACCTTACCTCATTTGTATGCATGCTGTTGAATATGGAATAACAGAGATCCAAAACAGTGCTGGAGATCTGCAAAAACAAACATTACTTTGATACATTTATTGAGAGGATGTGATATACATGCTCTGATAGAGAATGGGCTTGATTCTGATCCCAACACAATTTAGATTGAACACAGTTCCACTAAAACCACTCAGAGCAGGGCAAGACTTACTGATGCTATTATGAGATGAAAAACTAAAATTTTATATGAGGAGAGTAGACACAATACCACTAAAGTTGTCAACGCCGTCTTGTGCTATGAAGAGATCCGAATCAGTTTCTTCTATTTAAAATACATTTTCCTATGCTAATAGTTCATGAAATAGCTTTGGGTTTTGGCATATTTAGTCTACACTGATTTTAATCTACCAGCATTTCAGTCAATCAGTACTATAAACATATACTGAAATATACTGTCCCATACTCACTGCCACAGGACAGGCATCTGCTAATGCATGCAGTCACATTAGATGAGAAATTACTACTGCTCCAAAGGAAGTAAAATCTAAGACACCTGAATAACTGGCTCTTGGAACTATTTTCCCTAAGTCTTGGTTTGTAAAACTGAAAGAAAATCAGAAAAAAAAAAAAAAAGAGCACAAAATGTTCAAAATTTCCAGATAATTCCTGATCCTGAAAAGATTTTTCTCTCCCCTTTGAAAATGAAGATGACCCTTGGGCTCAGTATCAAATGCAGTTGGGCTGATCTTTCAAAGCCAGTGAGTTTTTAAACTGTTTGCAAGCTGTGGGTCAGAGACACCACAGCAGAAATGAGATAGGAAAACATCCCTTCGCTTCCCTCTCCTCTGAGCCCCCCAGAGAAAACCCATCCACCCACCACCACAGAGCTGGGACCAGGCACAACCCTGCCTATAACTCCTACAGCACCGACTGGCACTTCTTGCTTCAGAGCTAAGAAACCCGCCCCACCGCCGCCCGCGGGCGGGGGGCTCACGGGGCCCTCCTGCTCCAGGCACCCCGTCCTCCGCCCTTTGGAGACCGCCCTCAAAGCTGGTTTTCTAGAGGGAGGTGACAGAAAGGACGGAGGAAGGGAAGGAAAGAAGAGGCTGTGCAAGGGGAAGCGGCGGAGCTGCTGGGGTTTTTTATTTCAGACAAAAACTGCAGGCTTGGAGTTGGGCTTACTGAGTCTTGGGAAAATACTTCTCCTCGTAGCAGCTCGGGAAATTAAGGTTACCTTCCAATTAGAAGGGGTGTGAACTTTCCTATCGAACAAGTCCCAGCGCATATTATTATATTTACCTTCATGTGAAATAAGGAAAGCCATCCACCTCTTTGTATTATTTCATAGTAAGTGTGTAGACAAGACATAGATCTCATAACAGAAAGGTGATTCTCTGTTCTTCCCAATTTAATCACTGGGTTTGACCTCAGAAAATGACCCCCGCTTTTCTCTGTGCTAGATCTAAGGGCAACGCTTTCTAATCAGATCTGAGACTGAGAAAGGCAGAGTCCTCCCAGCCTCTTTATATTTATAGACTTTGGGCCTGCTGAGGCAAATACATATCCCGTTGTCCAATTTCTAGCATATGTAGTAGTGATGTTTGGGAGGCAATGGTCCCAACGTGGGATACCAGACATAAAAAGCTGCAGAAGGGATTATTGGCACAGCAACCCATCTCATCCCATAATGTCCCTCAATGGCTGCACTGCACACTAAAAGGGTGACAGCAGGACTGTTCCTGGTGGGGAGCATTTCAGCGTCTCAGAGCAGTCAGAGAGGAGATGCACCTGCTTTCTCGAAGAGAAGAGAGAAGCCAGACTTCATGTGACTCCGTCAGCTCCACAACTGTGTGTCCTGAGTACGTAAAGAGGCGCAGGAACAGCTGAGTGACCCCAGCACCATTAGTTCACCCTTTGTTCCTTCCCCTGGCAGAGGCAGCCATCTTTGCCTCATCACAGCCCTTTGGGTGCAATAATCTGAGTGGGGAGCTGTCAGGAGAGGTCAGATGTTGCTATAGCAGGCACTCAGCAGTCAGCTTCTGTCAGCTTTCTTCCTCAGATTACTCATTATCTGACTAAATTCCCACTTCTGTCCCACACAGCCTGTTAAATAATAGCCCCTTTCAAAGTATCTACCTATGTCCAAGTTTAGGAGTGTGAATTTTTTGCAATAGCATAGGAAAAGGGGTGTGTGATCATGTTGGGTGGGTAAAATCTACCCCTCCCTGAAGTAAAATACTGGATGCTGCCTGAATCTTTCCTGCCTCCTTCTCATGCCTGATGCAGGATCTGTTTTACTGCATTCTTTCCCAGTGAGTACCCTAAATGTACCCCGGGCTTTCCTTCAGCAAATTTTGCCTACAGATTGGCCCTGTGAAGCCTGTGGAGTTTCTCATTTGCTTCAAGTGAGGCTTATACTTAAAGATGAGATAAAATTTGTCATACAAGTGCCATTAAAAATTTTCAGTACAACTTATTATCAAACTGAAAATAGTATTTTATCAGTGACTGGGCAGTATGAGGGAAGAGTGGGGAAAAGTGTTTAAAATTTCATATAGATGTGTCGTATAGTTAACACATTCACCTTTCTTCACTGCTGTACATTTTATTTCATAAGTGTTAGCTAACGTGCACTTAAGGTTAGCTAAGGTGCAGCTTTGCCAATGGATATATCAGCACCAAACCACATTAATGAGCCATACGTGTACTGCACAAATTAAATTCCTGCTTTAAGGTCCTTGGCTTCCTGCATGCAAAGATAGAAATAGGTTAAGAGTTTCAGTGCCCACGGTGATTTACAAATTAGTTAAAAATGAAGGTTTGGTGAGGGGTCAATGAGAAACAAGAGAATTTTTTATGGTGAGTCAAGAGGCTTAGCATATATTTAGCAACAGCAGTATTATGGCACCCATAATTTTAGAATAAAATATTATGTGATTGATAAATAAAGAATAAGAAGAAACTTTGGCTAATTTCTTGGATAAATATGATTTTCTGTCTACTATGTTCAGCCAGAGAAGTGGAAATTCCTCTGAAATGAAGCAATTTACAGCTACCAGGTTGTGCTATACAGAAACAGTACTGTGGCAATGGGCTGTATTGGGCTACAGTGGGCTGAAAGTTCATTATAATTAGTACACTTTGAGGCATTTGAAAAGGTCTTCAATCTGGAACTTTTGCTTGGATTAATTTTCTTTGGTGCTTCTCCAGTCGGACAGGGGAGCAGCATGCTGTTCTGCTTAGGCAACCAGTGGGATAACTCAATACCTGCAGTTGAGCTTTCATCAAGGATTTGTCCAGAATGATTTGTTTCTGGCTTCTTAGTTTGTGCCCTACCAGAAACTTCCAGGTGGTCTCTCAGTCAAATACTGGAGTGGCTGACACATACTGACATCACCAGCTGAACAGATCTGATTTTAACTGAATTATAATGCCAACACTCATTCACCCATGCCTTCTAAATCATAATTATTTAATTCATAGCTTTAATTTTCTTTGAGTATAGTTATATGTAAATCATAATTTTGTGTTTATAGAGAGATTACCACAGTCTGTGGTAATGGATACCTTACACTGATTAAAGTAAAGGATATAGGCTAACATGCATACCATATGCCTAAGATTTCTGGCAAATAGCCAAATCCTGTATCTTCATTAGTATATGTGAAGAGAATATGTTAAAATAAATGTTTGTCTCACCAAGAGCTGGATACAGGGACAACCGATCCCAGGACATTTTTACTACCCAACTGAGTTTCCTCAGACACCACCCACTCAACCCACCAGACAGACAGAAGAAACCACCAGATGACATTAATCCATTTCAGTATCATATAACTCACCAACCCTGTGTTGGTGATATTGCTCATTATCTGCCTAACTTTAAGTCCATACACAAAAAAAACCCAAAACATCTAGGAAGCTGAGTGTGTAAATAAGTGAGAGCTCAGGCCTCCGGACACTACAAGTTATGCATCTATCACTGAGCAAGGAGCAAGGTGTTTAACCAAAGCTTTGCTTCCCTTAGCCATTTCTAACAGCACTTACCCCTGTCAGAGGTCTGAGTTGAATGCCATTCAAAATGAATAAGTACCCAAACACTGTCACTTAGAATTATTGCTGAAGTTATCTGTATTTTTCTTGTTAAGTAATTTGAGTCATTTAATCTGAAAGCAATTAATTTTCTCACTCTGTTTTAGGTCAAAGGTATTTATACAGAATTTTACTAGAACTGAAAATGAACTGATTGCTTCCCTGACACATTAAATTTCATTTGTGTGAACTCTTGTATGTCTTCTGACTCTTGATAGCTCTAAGACTTGAACTAACTTTTATTCTGCCCTTTGGCCAAAGTAGTTATGCCTGGACACTCACTGGCCTGAGTATTTTCTTACCTCATTAATCACAAAAGCTTTACTGTAGCAAAAGTAAAAGCTTTTATTGGCCTGAAAATTTTATTGGCCTGAAAATATTTGAACTGTAAGTTTAATGGAAACAGCCACTTCTGAGCCTAGCAATCAGACCAAACTGGCAAATAACAATAAACTAAGAGCTGTTAATACTAAATCTGTTTATACTATTTGGATTAGGGTCCAAAACTGACTGTCAGTAGTAATGCCTCTCCCATAGACTCTACTGAGCAGTGCATCCTACCCTTAGCAGCTGTTTCTCTCCACACCTGAGTCCCAGAGCCCTTCATGCACAGAGCATGTATGTCCCTTTCCCTAAGGCATATTGAAAAAGTTCTGTCTGGTCTTCCTGTAAGCAGCTGGCTAGAGGAGTCACTGGCAACCAAAAGGCAGGCTTTCCTTTGAAGGGGACACTGTTTCACAGTTTAATGACTTTTTAAAGCTTTTAATCTCCTCCTCCTCAAATACATTTGAATGCAGCTTTTTAATTGCCCTTTCCCAAATGTCTATTTGCAGAATTATAGTGGCTTTTGTCATAGGCGTAGAATTACGGACTCTGTTTTACACAATCTGGCTCCATTAACACTGTATTTTCTATCACATCTTCCTTAGTTGTTCCATGCAGACCAAACCTTGAATCGAGAGAGCTCTCCCTGCTTG